TTTCATTGAATCTTTCAAAGAACCAACTCTTTAATTCATTGATTCTTTGTATTGTTTTCTTAGTCTCAACTGCATTCCTGCTTTAATCTTTATAATTTCCTCCCACATGTGAGCTTTGGGCTTGACTTGATCTTCTTTTTCTACAAGCTTACAGTTCAATATTAAATTATTTAAGCTTGTACTGTTTCTGGTCTTGGAAGTTAGCACTATAAATTTCCCTCATAGGACTGCTTTCATTGCATCCCCTAAATTCCAGAATTCCAGTGTGTTGTATTGGCATTACTGTTTAGTTGTAGAAACTGTATAATTTCTTTCTTTCTTTTTTTTTTTTTTTTTTTTACCAGGGATCGAACTCAAGACCTTGCATTTGCAAGGCAGGCAGCAGCACCACTGAGCTACATCCCTGGCCCTTCTTTTTTAATTTCATCTGTGACCCACTGGTTGTTCAGGCAGGTGTTATTTAATTTCCATGTGTTCAGTGTTGGGCAGTCATGGTTTACTTCATTTTCCTAAGCTCCTCTATTTTTTAATGTGTGTCTTTTCTAGATACACTAGTCATGCCTTCATTATGGCTGTCATTTCTGTAGTTATCTGAGAAATCCTTTCTGATTTGATTTTTCTTTCTAGAGCCTCATCATCTGCTTCATTACTTCTGTTGTTACCACTTCAGAGAGTCCAGGTGGGTGGCTTTCAGATTGTTTTTACCTCATTGCTGTCTGGGGTTTGCCTTTGGCAAGTTGGAAGTCTGGGGTTGCGTCTTGCTTCTCTGTCTTCTCATTTTTTATTTATTTACTTAGTTTAGTTTAATTCCTGTGTTGCCACTTATAAATTGTGTATCATAGGCGTCTTTATTGCTATATTGGGAACCCTTCGGAAATGACTGCTTCTCAGCAATGTCTTCCACATGTAGCAAGCATTTGGGTTTTGAGTCTGTTGCAAGATCCACCCTCTTTAATTTATCAGGGATGAGAAATTGCTGCCTGTTTGGCCTAGCCCCTGGTTCTTTGCCACTAGCCTATAGTATTGTTTATGACCCTCAGGCAATCTCAGTCTGGGCACACTTGGAGGAACAACTGATTTAGAACCATTATATCATCTTGGCTAAAGTAGTACAATCGGTAATAATAATAGCATCAAACACACCCTAGAAAATGCCAAACTGTGCTAATTATTAATTTGCCAACTTTAACCATATCAACAGGATTTGTTAGTTATGTAACAAAATTTAAAACAAACCAGAAGGTTGTATATAGTAAGTATGCTCTTAACATGGCAGTTTTACCCTCAGAGGAGAAAATTTAAAAGGGGTCAGGCCGCCTGCCTCGCAAGCACAAGGGCCTGAGTTCAATCCCTGGTTAAAAAAAAAAGTAAATGAATAAATAAATAAAAGGGATTAGGGACAAAAATAGAGAAATAAAAGAGAAAGGGATTAGAATCAAGGCTGATGCACAAAGGAAGATTATACAAGCTTTGGGACTGGTGAAGAAGACAGGAAAGAAAGAAGGAAGAAACAGAAACAAGAACAAAACAAGGATAAATAAAAGCTAGAAACAATGTCCTCTCTTGAGTAAAAACAAGAACAGTCAATCAAGAAAAAGAGAAACAAGTGTCCACTTCAGGGTATATCTCTGCTGTCCCTGGTTGACAGAGGGGGCAGACAGAGCCCAGATCCGTGTTGAATGATTCCAGCAAGCCAGCAGTTGAACTGTGGTGGTGGTGGATAATCCCAGCAAACCTCAGCCTGTAGTTCCATTGAAGGTGAGGCTAGGACCCAAGGTTTTCAGCCCACAACACTCCAAGTACCTCCTGCCAGCTTTAGCTCTGCTCCTCTCTAGCTTGAACTCAGTTCCCTGGTCCCCCACCAGCTTGAATTCAACTGTGCCTCACCCAGACACTTGGAGCTGCTACATGGAGCCAACCCAAAGCTGCTCTGAGTTCTGACTTCAGTTGGCCTCTCTCCAAATTGGCTACTGGCCAGTTACCTTCCCCCGGGGGCATTTGAACCCAAATAACTTATTAGCCACTGTGGTCCACTGTATCTCCTGCTCTGTTCCACTGATGTGCTTCTCTGTGGAGGACTCCGGGGTCACCAGCAGTCACCATGTGTCTGCAGGTTTGAGCCACACCTCCCATGCCAGGGGTAGGGGCTCGGGGAAAAAGCACTGCTTGCCGTCTCCCTCTTCTGCACTGTGTTCCCTCTCATTGCTTTCCTTGTAGGCTCTAATTCTCACTTCAGATCCTTGATGGGCCCCAGGGACCCACTCACTCCTTCCTTCTCTTCCTCACGTTGCTGTATTCCAGCATCTGGATTCCAAATATGAGAGAGGCTGTTTCTCTGCTGCTCACCATTTCACCATCCTCCCAAAAGTCTGTTGCTTCCTGTAACTCTATCTCTCAATTTTTCATAGCCATTGGGATCATAACATATAAATGTTTGATTGAAAATTACTGTGCTTTTTTTCCACTTAACATTGTTTTGTACCTGGGACACAATGTTTACTCTAGATAAATGAATAATAGTCAACATTGTTCTGAGAACGTATTAATAACCTCACTTTTTTAGAAGCTGTAAATCTCCATCCAATAATAGAACATTCCTTAAATCTCTATTGATAGTAAAGTTATTTGTCATGTATTTATTTATAAACAATGTTGTAATGAACTTTTGCAAGCACACATATACTAATGGAAATACTTCAGCATTTTAAGTATTTATGAGTTTTTGTATTCAGTCTCCTCCTGGCAAATACCCATTGGATATAATTTAGAAATGTGACCGTGATGTTTGATTTGATTTGTATCTGTCTTTTCTCATAATTTGATCATCCCTGAGGCTCATGGCCAAAGAAGTCCTGGGCACTCATAGCTAGAGGGAGCCCTGACAGGAGTTTGCTGACTCTGGACACATCTATTCCTGTTCTCTACTAGCCAGGTACTTAGGAGAGCTGAAGCAAAATGCCAAGCTTTTCTACGTGGTGGTCCCTAAATTAATAATAATAATAATAATAATAATAATAATAATAATAACAATAATAATAAATATAACTATCTAACTTTGGGCACAATTACTTCTTGCTTCCTTTTTGGGCAAATTATTAAATACATTTTAAAACTGAAGATTATAATATATTGAATGTACACAAGGAAAAAAGGACAGTTGCTTATCTTGGGTTTTCTCTCTTTACTCCCTTAACTTTCGGTGCCTGATTTCCATGGGTTAAATTCAGTGCATCCTCTTACTTGCTTTGATGGGAGAGAAAAGTTGGAATAATAAATAATACTATGTGTTTACCATGTGTCTAATACCAGCTCTGTACCAACTCATTCTTTCTCCAAATTCTCTAAGGCAGATACTATTATATCCATTTTATAGTTGAAGCAACTAAGACTAGAACTGTTAACATCTCGAATAAGGTCCCATAGCTAATAAAGGGTGGAGTCTTTAATGGTCTGACCTCCCTTTCCTAACCACAGCCCCATTTAGAAGCCTTTGGTGAGAGGTGTGGAGGTTCCCTGACATGTGATGTTTGAATATTTCTTTCTGATTGTGCACTGAGATTACAGAAAAAGTAGGATTTCCCATAAAATTTCTGAACACTAGAGATTAACCAGTCCAGTTTCTTCACTTTTAAGCTTTCTATCCTATTTTTCTATGAAATGGGTCTATTTTTGTTTTCTGAATTAACTTTAATTTCACATATGGAACAAAATTTACTTTTTTCCTTCTGGCTTTTTAGACCCATGATATCCAATTTTAAGAAATAAGTTTGGCAATTATCAAATTTTGTATCAAACCTTCTTTCCAGTATGGGGGATTGAACTTGGGACCTTTCCACTAAACTACACTGCCAGGCCTTTTTTTTTTTTTTTTTTTTTTTTAATATTTTCAAATTTTGAGATAGTAAATTCACTAAGTTTCCCAAGCTGGATCTAACCTTGTGATCATCTGTTTCAAGAGTGCTGGCATTTCAGGCATGCTCCACCATGCCTGGACAGAGCTATTTTTTATCTTCTTTAAAATATAATTTTGTTTTTATAGGAACACATGGTCATTATATGCGTATTTCTAAAATGTTAGTACATGAAATACGAATGAACCCTCCCTGAACCCTGCCATACACACTAGTTCTACTTTTGAGTTTATCTCCATGGATAGTTCTTTAATTTTTAAAAATGTTATTAGTACATGCCTGCAGCACGTCGTGATAACATTCACTGTAGGGGATCAGTACATGTACAGGACACATTTCAATTTTTTCCCCTTCCCTCCACCTCTATTTTTCCAGCATCAGGTCCATTTATTTATCTTATAGACCTTAGAAAGTTAATTATCCTATATAAGTGTTGAAAACCAGACCAACAGGCCAAAGAAGATAAAAAACATATAAGACAGCTGTACTAAGTCAACATGTACTTTTGGATCCATTGTCCATGCTGTTTTATAATATTTTTCTCTCCCTTTTTGAGTTTTTTCATATAATAGAAACTATGTGATATTTAAACTTGCGTGCCTAAGTCACAACATTATAGTCTCAAGGTGCACCCACTTCTTACAAATGACTCAAGTTTATCCTTTATGGCAGAGGTGTACTCCATTGTGTATAAAGGCTGTAGGGGGGAAAGAAACCCTTCTCTATTGTTGGTGGGACTGTAAACTGACACAATCACTGTGGAAATCAGTATAGAGATTCCTCAAAAAACTAAAAATAGAAATTCCATTTGGCCCAGCCATTCCCCTTCTTGGTATTTTCCCAAAGGATGTAAAGACATCATAGTACAATGATGTATACATACCCATGCTTATTGTAGCACAATTCACATTGCTAAATCCCGGAAACAGCCTATATGCCCAACAATGAATAGTTCTGAATTAAACACTTTTTGAAAAGACTTAGGAGATATTTAAAACTTCCTTTACTAGTATTAGGATTTTTCATTTCACATCTAATACTAAAACATTGTCATCTATTTACAAACTGTATTAATCTGATTAACTTTAGCACAGTTGGACCTGATAAAAAATGCTCCTGAAAAGCCAGAAGTCTCTGAAAGCAAGGAGGTGGACTTATGCCAGTTCACGATTCTGGGTGGTGTGTACCACTTGGATATTTTGGAGCTCCCGCCACAGTGTAAACCAGTGAAAGGCTGGATGATGGTGGAGGTATGTAAATTCTTTAATCCAAACTTGTAAGCAATATAGTTTTCCCACGTTTTTACCTCATCTCATATAATGTCAATGTCAAATGACCTTTGGTCTTATTAAGCACTGCAAATGAAAAATGCAATTTGATGCTGTCTTGAATTTGCAGGTATTAAAAATCTGAATCAAATATTAAAGATATTAAATACTAAAGGAATCTAAAACATGGGTTGTAAAACTAGACTATGCTAATTGTAAACCTACAGCACTAAAATTTGCAAGTGCCAATTTGGCCGTGCTAACCTAGATCAGAGGTTGGCAATTTCTCTGTAAAAGGCCAGGAGGTGAATATTTTGTCTTTTGGGCCAACCAGCTCTGTTGAAACCCCGCAGCTCTGCTCTTGGAGTGCTAAAACTGCTGTGTGTAAATGAATGGGCAGGTGCGGGCTTGTTCAACTTTATTTACAAACCGGCGTGCTGGGAGGCATTTCCCAGGGAAAGTTTGCAGACTGGTTGGATCTGTGGTTGTCACCATGTGAGGACCCCTTGGCAACCTCTCATCATCTGGGAATTTGCGAGAAACACAAATTCATGAGTCCTGCCTCAAACTCACTGAGTCAGAATCTCCAAAGTGAAGCTCAGCAGTCTGTGTTTTAGCCAGAACTCTGAAGATTCTGATCTCAGTCCTTGATACACTAAGTGTGGTCCTTCAATCAGGAGCAGTGAACCAGTATAGTACAAACGTCGCCTTGAAATGTCTAAGAAGTGCATCTATTGTGGGGTGGCCTCAGGCCTACTGGATCTGTACTTTAACTGGATCCTCAGATCATTCATGAGCACGTTAAAGTATGAATAAGTGCTGATCCTGGTGATGCCCTCACTGCCAGTGCACAGGCAGCTGGTAGCAACACGGAGAGCTGATTTCAAGTTCACAGCCGTTCCCTAAGTTGTAACACTTCGGATAATGTGATCATGTCATTTGTTTTAACATCATGGTGGCTTAAATCTTCCTCTCTTCCTTGTAGCTCAGTGCATACGCAGATTACTGTCTTGTTCTCACACACATCCCCTCCATTAAGGACTTTGTTGTATTCTTGTACTTAGAGCTGTATTCTAAAACTTTTTCCCCCAACTCCTTGTAGGCATTGCTGCCAACTACCCTCCCCAATGAAATTTTAATCCGCAGATCATACTTTGTATCTGTTTATGTACCATAGGGGCTTTATATGTAAGAGTAGTAGTTTCTTTTTCCCCAACTAATTGTGATATTGCCAATTTTTTCCCCTTTCTCGCCTCAAGTGAGAATGTAATTTTTTAGATAAAGCTTGAGGGAGAGAGAGACTTTTAGCTGTAGCCACTTCAGAGAATCCTTTTAAATCTACCTTCCATACTTGAGGGGCACCCAGAGAACAGGGGACAGGTGAAGGAAGACCTCCTCCTGATGAAGGCGGCCTTCAGGAAGGACTCTGTCCATACCTGAGCCACGGTTTATAAGGATCCACACTGAAATCTATTGCTGTTCTTAAATTTTGTTCTGAGACCAGTACTCCATGCTCGGCCTCTGCGCCCAATGAATTCGCACATATATTTCTCTCCTGCAGCAAAACGCCCTTTTCCTTTTTTTTCCCCCAATGTTTTTAATAACCTCCCCTAGCATTTTTTTGTTTTCTTTTTTTTGTTTTGATCTTGTGAGACAGGTTCTTGCTATGTCGTTCAGCCTGGCCTTGAACTTACTATTGCAACCCAGACAGGCCTCGAACTCACGGCAGTCCCCTACCCCAGCCTCCCCAAGTGCTGGGATTATGGGCATGTGCCACCACACCCGGCTTTTTCTGTATTTTCTGACATTTTTAATCTCCTTTATTCCTAGATCCTTTGCTGCTGCTTTCACATTCGGCACAAATCTCCCTTGTTCTGGGAAAATCGGCTGTCTGCTTTCTTCACTTTCACCCACCCATCGTCACACTTCTCAAATGTTGCCGCCACTTCCTGTTTCTCTGTGTCGTGGCCGAGCAATCACAACACGTGACTCGGCGTCCCACAGATCTGCCTGTGTTGTCCCAAAGTCCGCTTGTAACCTTTGGCAGATTCATTTCTCCAAGTCTCACTTAGCAAATCCAAGTACAGGCTCTGTGGGATTCCTCAGCTGAAAATACTGATGTTCTCTATCACAGAATTTGCCCCGTGGAAGTTCTTCAGTGTTATTTGAATTTAGTAGTTTTCTCCTCGTTTATCTTTGTTGTGTTATGACATTTCGTTAGTCGACCTATAGATACACACGGGACCAAATTCCATGGTCTATTTAGGAATATTTACATCTTGAACTGTTACCAGTCATCTTCTAACTTGGTGTTTTGGTCCTTTTTAAAAGATCCTCAAAGAAGGGTTACAGAAATTTGCGTATCCTCCAGAAATCACAGAAGATTTTGAAACAGAAAATGCTTTTCCGCCTGTAGAAGTCACCCTTCAAATTCAGGAGAAAGTAACCTTTTTTGAGGAACCTGTGGTCGCAAGGTGGGACGCTGAAGGTACAGCAATACATAAACCAACTTTTAGTGGGACAATAACACCAATCTTTAAATTGAACATAAAATGCAGTGTGTAAACTGAGTTTCTTATCGTAGATGTATCTATGCCACTTCTAGGATCTTTTTGTTTGCTCTTGATAGAAACGCATAGGAGCTGGAATTTTAAATTTTGTTGAATTTTTGTTACTGTTAGATCCTAAAATGCCAATATTTTTCATAGCCTACCATTGTTGAAAAAAAGGAATGAAAATATCAAAATAGTTTAGCAAGTCAAAAGCATAATCTCCTATCTCACAAAATAGTCAAATAATTCAGATTGAGGCGATTCAGATTTTAGACTTAACATTAACCACCTATAAATTACAAACAAGTATCAGGGATAGGAATAGACAGGAAACCAGAGAAAGAGGAAAAGTAGCCATGGTATACTATTTTATGACTTGATCCCCGCCAACAGGGGATCAAACTCAGGACCTTGCACTTGCCAGGCAGGTGCACTATAACTTGATTCTTTTTTTTTTTTTTAGTTTTTTGAGACAGGGTTTCACTATGTAGTTGAGACTGACCAGAAAGTCACTATCACTATGTAGCTCAGGCTGGTCTCGAACTCATAGCAATCCTCCTGTCTCAGCCTCCTGAGTGCTGGGATTAAAGGTGTGCACCACCACACCCAGTTATAATTTGATTCTTGAACCATAGGAAACAGTTACTTTTACAGACCATTAAGTACATATTAATAAAATCAGATGTATAAACTAAAGATTTGAAAATTATTACTCATCACTCATGGCTGAATTTTGAAAGTTCTTTGTCTTGTGTATTAAGTTATGTGGCTGTAAGGAACCTATGTGAAAGTTATAGGACTTTATTTTCAGAGTTGCTTTACATCCATTTATTTGTGAGGGATTTATACACTTGGTGTTAGGCTGGGAAGAGATCCCCAAGGCACAGATCTCTCATTCTACATTTTAGTCCCAGGGACAGATAATTTAGGGACTTCTACCAAAAGGAGTATTTTGTAGTTGCTTATGAATGCCCCAATGCTCCAAAACCATAATTCCTTATTTATATTCTAGAAATAGTTTGAATTAAAAACAATATCTTCTTGTAGACTAAACTATGAAATACATAAAGATGAACAATTATGCAATGTTTTCTTTCATGTTGCTTTAGAGGTGTTAATAGTAATGTTCCTAAGTACCACATTAAAAATGATCCACACTAAACTACAGTTAGACAAGGTTATTTATCTCACATGATTTAGGGAAACATATCTTTTGCAGAACATGACTACGTAACTGTACTGATTAGCGATAAGTTACAGCTCCAATAATTTTTTTTAAGCTATGGGGAAACTTTGCCAGGAGATAATGGGAAAATTTCTTTTACAGGCAATAATATTAACCTTTGCAAATTAATTGTTAGTGCAGCAATAAAAAGAGAAAACTAATTTGTATGCGGTTGTATTTGTTATATTAAATTTAAGAATAAAAACTAGGCTGTGGAACCCTCCACATGAGGAAAAAAACGAGCCAAGTGAAGACGGACACTGCATTCAGCCAGACAGTGCCTCACTCAGTAGTCTCTAAAGATGCGAAAGGACGAGACAGAGTAGAAATGGACCAGACATAGTTTTTCCTCCTGGGAGTTCTCAAAGTCGTGGGAGAGGCAGCCAGGGAAAGGATCAGAGGTTACGCCGTCAGGTACTGGAACAGACAGGCCTAAGTTGCTGCAGAGCACAGCAGTGAGCCGGGTTGGTCTCAGAGGATGGGATTGAACTGGGCCTTTAACGACCAACAGGACACTGTGTGTGTCCTTCTCTGTGAGGACCCTGGTTTCCAGTTCACCTGGGGAGAGACCTAGGAGAGGAATAGCTGAGGTGAGTGGTAAATTTTATATTTTAGCTTTTGAAGAAACCTCCAAACTAGTTCTTCAAAGTTAACGTAGCATTTTACATGAACCTTTTCATTTCTCCATCTCCTTGCCAACCCTTGTTATTGCCCGTTACCAGGGAGCGGGAGGTGGTAGGTCACCGTGGACTGAATTTGTACTCGTAGTGAGGAATAACAGTGAACGTCTTTGTATGTACTTATGCACCTTTCATAATATCTTCTTTGGTGTAATTTTCATTCAATAATGTTTAACTTTTAAGTTAGGTGTTGGACTTTTCCTATAAATTCAGCCATACTATACATGTCCTTTTGTGTCTCTGACAATGCAAAGTGCAAAAAGGGCCAATTTTTAGAGATAGGAAGTATAGTAATGGCAAGCCGCCTGGGAGTGGGCATGAACTATAACTCAATCTTATTCTGAAAAAAAAAAATAAGTTCTATAATCGGATTGTGGTGATGGTTGTATAACTGTAAATTTACTAAAAATAATTGAAATGGTGTGCTTCAAACAGGTGAAATGCTGTTTTAAAAGAGGAAAAGCATTTCTGTAAAATATAGAGAAGAATATTCTAGGAAAAAAATAACTGCATGTGCAAAGGCCCAGGGGAAAACAATGTTGTCGGGGAAGGCACGAAAATGGGGGCTGAAACAGGTCTGGGAAATGGCAAGGAACAGACTGAGAAAAGTGAGTTAAAGCCTCACTCCGAAGGTCTTAGAGACCACTCTGTGGAGCTTGTCTTGATCCTAGAGGCAGGAAAGTGCTCAGGGAAGGAGGCTTTTTATTGAGATTTTCATCCATCCATCCATTATTTATTTTAGTTTTTTGAGAGAGGGTCTCACAATGTAGTTCAGGTTGGCCTCAAACTCATGGCCATCCTCCTGCCTCAGCCTCCCAAGTGTTGGGATTACAGGCATGTGCCACTCCACCTGGCTGGATTTTCTTCTTAAAGGATCAGTGATCTAGATAGCTGCATTGATCTTCTTCTTGTAGGAAAAAAATGAAACTGACGTCACTGTTCATTTACTACAAAGGTAAATACTGGCGAACTGATGGCATTAGTGACGTATATTACAGCTCAGAAGACAGACTTGTATCATTCAAGCTGGAAACCTTTGGCCCCGTTACCTTGATGCAAGACACTCATATTAACATGCCATACCAGTCGTGGGAACTAAGGCCACTTGGCATGAATAAAGCACTTCTGACTGTGACAACAGTATTTACTGAGATTCAGATACAAATTAAGGTGAGTTCCTGTTGAAATAATCACTGATTTATATATTCAAACACAAGCCCTATACAACTGCACATAAATATACTTTGAGCTATTTCTAATCAAGATACTAAGTGAATAAATAGGCAACAACACATAGTGAGTCTCACAGTTGCCCCCTAAAGTCACCACAGATGAACCAGTGAATAGGCCAGCAAGCCTGGTTTAGTACACATCTTAGTTTCTGAGTTGCCCCAGAGAGGCTCCCTCGTCGTCATCCAAGCATTTGAAATCCCCTGTGAAGTTGTCCCCTCTCTAAATGAGACACTATTGTGCATCAGTCAGGAAAAGACTACGGAGACAAGACTAGATCAGTGGTTGCCTGGTGCTGAGGGTAGGAATGGAGATCAACTGTAAATGGGCATACACGACTTTACTGGGCAGGATGGAAATGTTCTTAAAATGATTTATGGAGATAAACCACGTGGTAAAGTGTCTCAGAATGACTGCACTGTAGTAGGAGGGTCACTGCATGCTTGAGGCCAGCCTGACCTACATAACGAGACCCGCTCTCAAGATAACCTTCCCAGTGATTGCACTGTGTGTGTGAAACGGGTGAATTTTGTGCTAGGCAAAATGTATCTCACGGTGGTGTTTTATAAAGAGAGACAGCCTGGAAGTCTTACTATTCATTATCAAACTTGGCTTTTAAAATCAGATGGGAGAGCAAGACTATTCTCAGAATTGTCAGTGCTGCAAAGGACCTTAAAGCATTTCTAATCTGCCCTGTTTTATACAGGGATACAGAGGCCTACAGTGGCCTGGAGTTAAGTGGCCTTCCTAAGATTGTGCAAGGAGAACGTAATGCTACTTTGCCAAATAATTGTGTACCACTGTTACTGTTTACATGTGTTTTCAGGATTCGCTTTTTAAAAGTACAACCATAACTGTTTTTAGTAGTTATTATGACTCAATGTTGAACATATGCATTATTCTTAGGTCATAACTTGTAAAATAGGAGATCTTGGAGATTAATCCAATTCAGATAAAGCCTAGAAAAAGTTAGTAAACTGCTTATGCGGTAACGGGGACTTGGTGGGGCTCCTTCTACATGGGGCCTAACACACAGCTGTCCTGCATTCTTTTTTAATATCGAGTGGTAAAGGCTAGACCTGGACAGATACTGAAGTAATAATTTAACTTATTATGAAAGCTTCTTTTTTCTTATTTAAACTTAGGAAAACCTCTGCGTGTTGGCTTCAATCAAAGTAAAAGACAAAGAACACGGCTCTGTGTTGGAAGGAAAGTGGATGGCTCCTGTTCCTTTCATTATTGCTTTGAAAGAAACGGGGCTGAATATCTTCCCGACCGTGTACTCTCATTTTTATGTTGCTATAAACAATAAGGCAAGCACTAGTCTTTCCAAACTTAATGTTGGCAAGCATTCAATTTGCAGACACTCGCTAAAGCATGGTTACAGTTAGAAAATGTGAAAATCCCACAAACCCCAGGTTCTCTCAAGTTTGGTAATCTTGCCAGAGAATTAACCTGATCTTCGGGTGAAAAACGGCTGCACGTCTAGAACTGGTCAGTTCAGTGCAGAAGTAGCTGAGTGACTTCCCACTTTACAGTTCTCCCCCCGCCCCATGTTTGGATATATGTAAGATTTAAGAGAGAAAATAACTTTGTATCTTCACAAACACGGAAAGTCAGGCAAAGTTAAACACAGACAAGGACCACCCGTGTCCAAACCCCCGTCTTTAGGTTTCGTGGCAAAGCCTCTGTGGCTGTGCACTGCTTCACGTTACAGGGTTTAAATTAGATCCTTCCCCGTTAACCTGGTGGCTCTCGGACCTGTTTTGTAATCAACTTTGTTAGCCTGAGTAGAATCCTAGAATGCAAATGCTCAGTGAGCCTTTGTGATACTGAATAAAAACACAAAGTGCGTCTAGTCATGGGGGATATGTCTGTAGGCAGAAGAGACCTATACTCAACACATTTAGGAATACACCAGAAACTGATTAGCAGTATAGGTGGACATCCATAAACAGTTGGGAATAATCATAGAGCTAAGTATGCACACAGGGGAAAAAAACTCCTCAGTTTTAGTAACTCAAACTCCCTGTAGTGACTACAATGCTACTATAGTGTCCTGTTGATGTGTTCAGAATATTCAATAATATTTTGCCTGAATAGCTAGCTATAAGTTGGGCACTGTTATAGACAATTAGGACACAGTGAATAAAGCACAGGTCCCTGCCGGGCGTGGTGGCGCATGCCTGTAATCCCAGCACTCGGGAGGCTGAGGCAGGAGAATCGCTATGAGTTCGAGACCAGCCTGGGCTGCATAGTGAGTTCCAGGTCAGTCTCAACTACATAGTGAGACCCTGTCTCCAAAAAACAGGAAAAAAAAAGAAAAAAGCACAGGTCCCTGCTTAGCTTAGAGCCAAGCTTATATTCTAGCTGAGGAAGGTGAGAGGGCTGGATGGTGCACAGTGTTAAGTGTTGAGACTTGGAGCAGGTAAGAGAAGGTAAGATCTGCACCAGGCTTGGAGGTGCACACTGCAGCCCTGAGGGAGTTCGCTGCCTGGAGGGGAGCTGAGGAGCCAAGGCCAGAGAGGTGATGGCAGATCACAGAGGGCTTCTGTGGGCATCACCTGTGGATTCTGCTTAGAGGACGGGAAAAGCCCTAGCCCCATTTTGAGAGTCTGAGGATGGAAGGGAGACTTGCTGGGAAGCTCCAAGATCAACTCTATTTGTTTTTTTGTTTTTGTACCAGGGATCGAACTTGGGACCTTGTGCTTGCCAGGCAGGCAGCGGAACCACAGGGTAAATCCCCAGCCCTCTATTTGTTTTTATATTGGCAGGTTCCATTGGTGGAAATGAAAGCCTATCAGCAGATGGCCCTGCTGAGTTCTGCTTTTGCATTTGGGTGGAGCAAGTGGAATACACTGTGTAATTCTACAAACGTTGTGTTTAAGGTACAGTATCTAAAATCCCGTAAAACTACTTTTATCTCCCCAAAGACGACAAAGTACTCAAAAACCAAATGTAGGCTATAGCGTTTCCTCTTTCAAAAATAAACAATATTCAAAATAGTGTTTTTTAAATTTCAGAAGTTTTTTTTTGAAACTTCGTTGATAAAACCAGGCCAGGCACCATGGTACAGGCCTAAAGTCATAGATGCGTAGGAGGCAGAGGCAGGAGGATTGCAAGTGTGAGGTCAGCTTCGACAACTTAGTGAGACCTTGTTCCAAATTAAAAAATGGAAAGGGTTAGGGATGTAAGGACCTGGGCTTAAATCCCCCACAAAAAAAGAAAAATGCCTCCAAACGATGTCAGTGGTACACTTGTGACTTCAGGCTAGAGCTCTTATAACCCACTCAAGGGCTGTGGGTGCCGTTAACATAGATACCCCTACAGCTTGAATTTCTAACACATTTGCCATTACCTGGCAGAAAAGAGATTAAATTCTAAAAGTTGACTGATGAATTTTTGTTTTTTGCAGTAGTGGGGATGGAACTCGGGGGCTCAGCATGCTAACCAAGCACTCAAGAAGTGTTTAGCATCCATGAACTCCTGTATTCTTGACAGTTGTCCTCAAGGAGATTATACAAGAGTGGGGGCAACTGTTTTGCTGCTGTAGCTATTCGTGTATTTGGGTGCCTTTTTTCCCGTTTCACCATTATGTGTCCAGCATGTGACAGACACTGAAATGTTGTATGAACTAATGCACAGTTTTAGAGTTTAAAACCAACCCAATAACGGGACCTTACGAATGTTTAACTTGGGCTACTTGGGGGACGGAGCCAAGCCCTTCGAATGACCGCTCCCCAAATAATGCGGAGAAGGGGACCTGTGAACAGATTTCTGTAGTTTTCTTTTCTCTAGGTGCGGGAGACCCTGACTGAGGAGCACCCCATCGACATCCCCAACTGGGCCCTGTTCATGTTCAGTGGGGACAGAGCATGGAGGCTCAAGATAAACGAAGAGAGCGAGTCCTTTTCTGAAGCGCTTGGAGAGGAAACCGAGTTTCATTCCACTTTGTATCACATGGTGAAGGATGCGGCTTCCAAGGAAGCTGTGGAGAAAGTCAGGAGTTCCAGCTGCCAGTTTGTGGACTCGGTTTGCTACATGCTCCTCTCCACCAGGGTGCTCAGCTATTCTTAATCCCCAGCTGCAACTACAAACTGTTGTCTTGGCAAGAAAACCCTGCATTCCTCAGTGTAGTTGAGTGAATATATTTCAGATAATTTTAATAGCCTCATAGCATTTTATATTCAAATTTAAAGTGGGGTTTTTTTTTTCCTTGACTATTTGGCCTATTGAGAGGTTCAATTTTCACTCTAGGAAGAATTGAAGAGTTCTTTATTTAGATACACTGTATGTTTCTAAAAATAATGTTTCTAAAAAACAAAACAATATGTTTCTAAAATAGCTCATTAAAACATCCTCCTCCCTTTTATAGTTGGGGAGGTGACCACAGAAAGTGGAGAGGCAAAATATTTTACGGTTTCTCTGAAAACCTGTGGCTTTGTGCTCGACTAAGTGAAATCCCAGCTAAAAGTCAGGACACATACGTTAGGGTTCTCTGCAGTCACACCGGCGGTGGCCCGTTGTGTTGGAGTGCAGTAAATGGCCACAGCACATGTTCTAGAGATAACCAGGAGTCCCCTTCCTGGGTGGGAACGGCATCCACAGCCTTCTGGAAAAACTGACCGGTGAGCAAGCTCATGAGCGCTGCAAAGAGGACAATGAATACAAAAGACAGCCAGAGAGCTTTAGCCTTTCTCACGGAGGTCCCGAGATTTGTCGCCCAGGAGGCCAGGGTGTCAGGACTGTGAAGAAAACACAATTGGGCTATCACAATAGTATTTGTTAATGGAAACCCTGCTTTTGCAATCACCCGGTCTCATCTCCATCCACATCGCCAGCACTGCCTTTCCACCTCCGTAGGATGATGGAGGCTCTTGACTTGGGGCACATTCTGCACCCCCCGCTCTTATAATTGGTGGAATTCAGAAAATGATTTGCTGTATGAAAACTTTGTGACTCGGGCACTGACTCCTAACCAGTCCCTCCAAGTATTTCATGCAATCAAGTAAAGTAACTTTATTGCTACTTTATTGCCCGGTAGAGCACGATGCAGGTGTATGTACTCACAGATATTTACAGATGTGTATATGGACAACGTCACATTTTTCAGTATACCCTGTGCCCCTGCTGTGCTGAAATTCAAACTCTTATCTTTTAGAAGCACCCACAAACTAAAACTCACTTTAGCATCACTTAATTCTCTGCTAGACACGGTATTAAGCAGGCTCCAGGTGCTACTCCATTTAGTCACAACAGCAACACCATGACATAGGAACCCTTAACGCCCCTGTCTTCTAGATAAAGAGACCGGAACTCACAAGTGGCTGTGCCTGTCCGGGTCACGCAGCTACTCAGATAGCTGGCATCTGCGTCTCAACTGTGATGGAACCCTCCTGCCTCTTGTAAAAATGGGTCCGAGGATGACTGTTGTAGACGACCGTACAAGTTCTACTGCTCCTCTTAAATTTAACAGTTTGGCATGGCTTTGGTAAAGTCATTCCTGGGTACTCTCTGCCCTGGTTACCCCTCCCATCCTACTACACTGCTGTGCCATAGCAAGGAGGCGACTTACACAGAAGAGAGATCCCACTTTGATGGATTAGTTTTCCTTTCAGAAAGGCTTGGCTTCCTCGTCTTCTCAACTGTTTCTTCTCCAGGTGATTCTAAGTCATCTTTAGCTCTGCAAGTAAGAAGCACTATTTTTGGATATTTTCAACTAATTATAATGTGCTATAATTACTAGGTTCGTGACTATATCTGTTTTGCTTTACAAAGATTTGATACTGAAAACTGTAAAAGTTATAAGAATTTAAAAATAACTAAAGATAGTAAATATTTATGTAGAAAGTTGAAATATTAGCCAAATTCACAAAAAGAGGAAATTCATGTATTTAACTATACATTAAAAATATGGATACATTTCTTTATTTGAAATAGAGTAAATTTTAATTAATTTTATTGGTACATTTAATATATTCAATATAATGACATTCACTGTTGGAAATTTGTACCTTTACATAATCTTGGTTCTTATTTTTTTCCCCATCTCCCACTCCCTCCCTATCTAAAAAGACTTTGTTTCCATTATTTTTCATTTTCTCATATTCCTATTTTTTTCAGTACCAGGGATCAAACTCAGGACCTTGCACTTGCGAGGCAGGCGGCAGCACCACCGAGCTAAATCCCCAGCCTTGAAATATAGTAAAAAAAGTTTTTTTTGTTGTTAAATATTCTACCACATTGTTTTTAGTGTTCTGTAATTTTACTTTAGTATTAATTTAAAGGCCTTAATTTTAAAAAGCACTTGTGAAAGGCTGGGGATTTAAGCTCAGTGGTTCTGCCACCTGCCTCACAAGCACAAAAACCCAAGTTTGATCCCCAGTACAAAAAAAAAAGCACTTGTGAAAATACTCTGTTAAGCTATTTCAAGTAAACTTGTATTCTGCAGGTGGGGACTAACAATTAGATGGACTATTTTATCTAAAGAGCTATTGCCCTACTTTAAAAAAAACTGTTTCATTATCATATTCACTAACAATCCTCAGTTGGGAGCTAATTGCCAAAGGGAGCTGTGTATTAATTTTTCAACCATCTATAGAAAATATGAGGTAGATTGAGTTTTTCCTAAAAATAGCCAACAATGGTACAATAACATGACAATGACGTCAATACCTATCAGTTATAGCCATCAATGTTAATGGCCTCAACTCACCAATCAAAAGAAATAAGACTGGCAGAATAGATTAAGAAGCAAAACCCAACAATATGGTTTATAAAAGAAAAGCACCTAGTTCAAAAAGAAAGTCATAGACTACAAGTAAAAGGATGGAAAATAGTTCTCCATGAGACAGGAACCCGGAAGAAAGCAGAGGTAATTATCTTGTTTGCAGACAAAGTGAATTTCAAACCAAAACTGACTAAAAGACAAAGAAGGTCAATACATCCTTGTAAAAGGAACAATCCAAGAGGAAGAGATGACTATCATAAATATATATATAAAACAAATATTAAGGGACATGAAAAATAAGTACTAATACAATTGTAGTGGGGGACCTCAATACCCTGTCACAAATCATCTAGATTAAAAAAATCAACAATAAAATACTAGAACTGAACCAAGCTTTTGAACAAATGCATGTAATAGACGTCTACAGACTGTTCTACCCCCACAAAGTCAGAATATACATTTTTTTGGCTGCACACGGGTCATTCTCCAAAATAGATCGCATACTAGCTCATAGAACATGTTTAAGTAAATGCAAAGGAAGTGAAGTTATTCCATGTATATTATCAGAACATTCTGCAAATAAATTGGAGATCAATAGAATAAGCAACTGCAAGAACTTCACAAACACAGGGAAATTGAATAACACTCTCCTGAACAACCAATGGATCACAGACAGTTTTCACAAATAAATGATAATGCCAATACAACACACAGGAATTGGACACAATGAAAGCAGTTCTGTGAAGGAAATTCATAGCAGTGAATGCCCACACTAGGGAAACAAAGCGAGCTCAAATAACCTAATGCTGAATCTTAAGATTCTAGAAAAAGAAGAACAAAACAAACACAAAGCGCATACAAGGGAGGAAATTATAAAAAAGCAGAAACCAATGCAATGGAGACTGAGAATACAAAAAAAATCAATGAATCAAACAGTTGGTCTTTTGAAAGAATAAATAAAATCGATAAACCCTTAGCCAACCTTATCCAAAAAAAGAAAAGGCTCAAATCCATGCAATTGGGAACAAAACAGGTAAAGTCACAGATCCAGCAGAAATCCAGAGGATCATCAATACCAACTTTGAGAACCTGTATTCTAATAAAACAGAACACAGAAGAAATGGACAGATTTCTAGATACATACAAATTACCAAAGTGGAATCTGTCAAATTCTAGGATCTCTAACTTAAAACCTCAACTTTTGCTGTTCTGAGAGCTTCAAAAGTGAATGCACCCACAAATAACATTTATAGAGTACTTTAGAGTTTATGAAAGTCACAATGAATTCTTGCTGACACAGTATTAATTTCACCTTGGTGAAATTCACCTCACAGTTCATGCCCCAGCTCGGGCCCATTTAATACACCCAGCCACACCTACTTTAGTTCACACTTCTCTTCAGCATCTACCCAGGAATAGGTGCTAATGAATCGATGTAATGAAGGGCGATGTTCACTCTGCTTTGACCCCAAAATACGCCTAAAAAAGGAACATAATAGCCATATGTCAAATCAAATAGTAGCCATTACTGATTTATTTCCTGCTTAAATCAGCACAAAATTTCTGTTCTAACGTTTCCTTGGGACATTCATATGACTCCCATTTCATTATTTTTAAACTTTGTCATATATCAATTTTTGTAATTTTTCATATTCTGAACAAATCAAAAGTTACTATATATCACTCATTTCAAAGGCCTATTTACTACAGGGCCATTATAAAGTAATCTGATTCCGAAAGAGCAGCCATACAATTACTCACCAACTGCTTGACCTCCTGCTGAATCTCTCATTTTCCATCGCAGATGCCTTTAGAAGTTCAGATGTTAAATATTTAGTATTTAGTGAAGTTTATACTTTAGTCATAGGAAAGTGAACTTTTCATCAAGAATACTTTGGACTGCCTCGAAAGCGCAAGGTCCCGAGTTCGATCCCCAGTACCAAACACAAACAAAAAAATTCCACTTTGGAATTTGCTTACCATTCCTGCATTTCCAATATTTCTGGGTAAAGAGGCAATAGTCACTCTTCGAAGAGAAGATGGCTGCCCAAAAAAGGGAAAATGTACATTTTTCCATGACACTGATGCTTATCTGTGTATACACTCTTTTACTGGACCACTGCTGAGACATACTTTGAAAGACTGTTTATAGACAAATCATCTTTCAGAAATATTTTACCAATTTATATTCCATTTTATGCCATATAAGATTTTAATTTCTGCCAATGAATTAAGAAATAAAATTTCATATTTGGGTTTTCATTTATTTGACTTCTAGTAACATTTTCTGTGTTGAAACCATGCATATATCTGCTCTGACAACCATCTCTATGCTTATGACCATTTGTCCATATTTTATTTTGATGGAAGAAAATATTTGCATTCTTGATTCAGCCAAATGTATTCACTTTCTTCCTTCTTCTGTTGCTGCTTTTATGCTTATAAAGATTTCCCCCCTAGTCAGGCGTTGTGGTGCACACCTGTAATCCTAGCACTCAGAAGGCTAAGGCAGAATTGCGGCAAATTTGAGGCCAGCCCGGACTACATAGTAAGTTCAAGGTCAGCCTGAACTGCCTGACGTCCTGTCTCAAAAAACAAAGTAAGATTTTTCCCTCAACTCCAGATAAATGAGATCAATATGCAACTACATTTACAGCTTTTTTTCCCCCAGTTTCATGTTTTTCACTTAATACATTTAAGATTTCATGATATTTTATTTTGTAATAAATTATTTTTAACTGATACATAAAAACAAATCATGTGCATTAATGGGGTACCAGGTAACCTTCCATGTGTACATTGTATGATGTCTAAGTCATTTTATAGTGGCAAACTTCAAAATTATTTTCTTTAGCTTCTTGAAATGAACAGTACATGGTTAGTCTGTAGTCACCATATTAGACCATAGCATACCAGACCTCTTGGTCCTACTTACAGCCTACTTCCTGTTGGTCAACCTTTTCCCAAGCCTCACACCTTTCTACACTCAACTTCTAGGACAGCAGTAGTTTTGGCTTTACAGATGAGTGAGATGCCATGATATTTTAATAAGTAAATGTGTGTATAAATCGCTCTTGCGATTTGCACAGAAAATGTTATATGGTATTTTGCAGTTTACAACCTAAGGAGATAAAAGCTATTTTAAACGTCGTAACCAACTAAAAACTGTTTGGCAGGAATCCTTACACTGATACCCTAATTTAATTTCATAGATCAGTTGAGCATCCCACAAATGTCACAGTGCAGTTAGAGAAAGCTGGCCTTTAATCGTAGTTCTATCACAACTAGATCAGACTAACCACTTCTGTATTTCTCTCTTCCCTCACCTGTGAAAAAGATTTAGATGGGATAATTTTAAAGTCAGTTGCTCAAAAATGTGGTAAACTTGTAGAATCCTTATTTTTAAACTACTGCAAAAAACTGCCGGTGGATTTTCCACATCCCGTTGTCCTCTTGGTTTGTAAGCTAGGTGTATGGCTTGTAGAATAAAAACTATTTTTCAATCTCACTTTCCACCAAAAACAAAAAAGGAAATGCCACACTGGACTTCTGGGAAGCGTTCTTACAGGGAGAGAAACATTTGCCTTCACTGCTTGCTTCTTGCTGCAGTGTGACTGGATGTAACAGCAAGGACTTGGCACCTGGATCAGAAGCAGTGATCTCAGACCCTGAGGAGAAAGCAAGGCCTGATGGTGATGCACAAGCAGCAGAGGAGAAAGATTTGTGAGGAGTTTGCGCACCTGCTGTACCACTGTCAGATTGCCTCTTTCCAGTGTGTGGGGGGGGGGATTGAATACTGAATCCAGGACCTTAGTACTGAGCTATATCTGCAGTTTTTTGTTTTTGTTTTTTTTTTTTTGGTACTGGGGATCGAACTTGGGACCTTGTACTTGGGAAGCAGGAAGTGGCACCACTGAGCTAAATCCCTGGTCTGGTCCTTTTAAAATTTTACTTTATATTTTTTGGGTTTTTTGTTTTTTTGTTTTTGTTTTTGGTTTTGGTAGGGTCTCACTATGCAGCCCAGGCTGCCCTTGAAATCACAGCAATCCTCCTACCTCAGCTGCCCAAGTGCTCAGAATTCAGCCATGGGCCATGACGCCCAGCTCTTTTTTTTTTAATCACAAGATCTTGCTAAGTCACTAAATTACTCAGGCTAGGCTCAAACTTGTGATCCACCTGCCTCAATCTCCCAGAGTGCTAAGATTACAGGCATTCATCACCATACCCAGCTACAAAATGTGGTTTGCATGACAGAAAATAGTGCCATTGCCTTACTACCTTTCGCCATGCTCCAAGCAAACAACTAATACAAAAACACAGCAGGCAGTAAAAAAGCATACTCCATAAACTATATAGGTAAATATACATATCATATACATGCATGCAAATTAAAATCACTGTTTTGCGATTATATTTAAAGGCATGACATTTCAAATGTTTTTTAAAAAGTTTCTTGCCATCAAGCACTTCAGAGACATCAAGTAATGTACTAAGTGAACCAATAATTACCTTGGAGTTGAGAGAAGCCGATCGCTTTTTAATCTGGCAGTCATCTGAAAGGAAAACCATTTGTATACTTTAGAAATCACACATGCAGCTTATATTATAGCACTGATCTTAATTCTTTACAAAGTAATGCAAAGGTCAGAAAAGATTTACTTAAGACTCTAGACTATGGAACAATATATTTATTTTATTTATTTATTTTTATTTTTTTGGTGGTACCAGGGATCGAACTCAGGACCTTGCGCTTGCGAGGCAGGTGGCAGAACCACTGAGCCAAATCCCCAGCCCTATATCATTTATTTATTTAGGTCCTGGGGACTGAAGTTGGGTCCTTGCACTTTGGAAACAGTGGCGGAACCACTGAATCCCTGGCCCAGAGCAATATATTTATTTTGGTGACTCGTAATAGTTACCACCTTCACCCGTGGCATGTGGTTCTGTGTGTCACTAAAGATGCCCACAATGCTTGCTGAATGCACTAATTGTCAACTGTCTGCTGAATAAAGAAATCCATAGAATGAGTATCAAGTATGGTTACTTTTCTAGAAGTCAGAACAGATCATTAAAATAATTCTGCTCAGAAAACGATACTATTTTAAATAAAACTACTGTAAGATTATAGAAGCCGTATGTTATGATTTTTTCCTGTGACCTCATCTGTCTGTTTTCCAAACCATAAATCAGCTTGTGGACCCTTGCCAGGGTCACTACTTCTTTGAAGAATACAAAACCACTGTTGCTCAGACTGGCTCATTTAAGTTTTCGCGCCTGACTTTATGTGCAGAAAAAGCATCTATACTAACATAGCATCAATTAGGCAAACAATAGAGTCAACTTGATTTGGATTAAATACTTTCTCAGTTGAAGAAATCTCTCTTAGCCTAGGGGGCTTTTTCAAAAGACACAGTGAGACACATTAAGAGCGTGGAAAGGGGGAATGTTAGAAAACACAACTAATACTATTTAACTTTGTATTACCTTCATCTTCAAGAGGGTGAAACGACCTCTCATTCTGCAGAAGAACCTGCTTCAGTTCTTCCAATTCAGCATGCTCTTTGGCATACATTCTCTTTAGGTTTTCTACATGCTGAATCATCACTTCAACTGCTTTACTAACCCGGCTCTCCTATTAAGAAAGAATAAGAGAAAAATCTACATTGAAAATACTATTCTTGGGGGTTGGGGATGCAGATCAGCAGTGGAGCACTTGCCTGGCATGCCTGAGGCTCTGGCGTTACATTACCAGCAGGGAGAGAGAGATAGAAATGGGGGGGTACAGGCAACAGAGAACTATTCTCAACGCTGAGGGATTAAACAATCCACCTTCATTCTATCCTTCAATTAAAATGTTGGGAAATCTTGTGTCTTTTAAACATCATTCTACATGGACAACCAAGACAGAAGAGGATATAACAGCACAAGATTTGAAAGGCTGGGTAGTAAAAGGACTGAGTCCTGGGAAGTCTGAGCCCCTAAAATACATGGTAGGAAAAAGGCTAGAAGCTGCCTAGGTTGTATCACAGAAGGCCTCAAAGGCTTAAGAGTTAGTGGCATCTCTGGAAGTCTGAAGGTGGGTATGTGAACCCAAGGACAGCTCGAAAGTCTGTAAAAAGTGATTAGAGCAACAGAGCCCCAGTCCCACCGTGGCCAGCACAGTGCCTCTCCCACAGTCGCTGTGGTGAAAGACCACAGTGAGCATCTATTTACACAGAGGCAAGCAGATGTTGTAAGGACTGGGAAAGAGCTGATGGAAAATGTACCTTACTGAAAATAACAGATTGAAGCAAAAGTCCCTACACTCATCAAGTACTGAGGTCTGCGTCCCTCCTTCCAGTTCCTAAACACCAGCAGCCAGGGTTATACTCTCAAGACAGGCAGCTGGCAGACTCTCCACACAGCCCCCAGTAAGCTCCACGGTAAATCGTCAGCTCTTGGGAAGCCTCCAGCATGAAACTAGGAGATCAAAACACAGGGAAAAAAAGTCTCCTGAAAGAAACAGTCTGTGGAAAACCTAAAACTTCAAGGAAATCATTAAAAACTTCAGAGAGTTAAAAATAATTAGTGCATCCATGAAATAGGAACAAGAAATTGTTCAAAAGAAATGTTCAGTATATTAAGAGCTTTTAGAAATTAAAACGATGACAAAAACAACTCAATAGAAAACTTTCAAGATAAAGTGGAGGAAATCTCCCTGAAACCAGTGCAAAAAGACCCTATAGGTAGCTCAGATCCATACAGGAGATATAAAGAAAACAAAAGCAAGAAAGACAGAGAAAAATATCCTAAAATGTAGAAAAGGAAAATTTTAAAAATTTCTCCATTAACATACCTTGCCAGCTTCAAAATCGCTACTCAAGGACTAAAACAGTGGATAAAAATAAACTCATAACCAAGGCAGAGCAGTAGGAAAAAAAGGACGCCCTAAAAGCTTTTGGAAAGTCAAAAGAGGGAAATGGAGACTTACAATGGTATTGTACTTTGATCCCAACACCAGAGCTAAAAACAAAGTAAAGCAATGTGAGGGAAATCCTAGAGGAAATTATCTCTGGTATTGAATCCTTCTCAATTAAATGGAAGAATAAAGACATTTTCATTCATACAACTTCTCACAAAGTTTGCTTCCCCACCTAAACCAGATAGTAACAACAACAACAAAATCATAATGATAATAATAATCCAACAAGAAAGAGACAAGGAATCTAGGAAATGGGATTCAACTCAAATGGGATATGAAAGAAATTCTTGTGTAAGAGTTTAGAAGCCTTTTGTGGCAGTGTAAAGGGCAACAAATCCAGACTGGAGCAGGTCAAAAAATCTCAAGGAAGAATAAAGTGACAAAAATGATAAGTTTAAATATATGGAGAGACCTGGACTTTTTAGATGAGTTTGCGAATGAATTAGAGACAAAGAAATAGAAAACCAACCAGGAAACAATCATAACAAAGAACAAGTCCGGTGCGGCGGATTTAGTTCAGTGGCACCACTTTCTGCCTCACAAGCGCAAGGTCCCGAGTTCAATCCCCGGTACCAAAAAAAAAAAAAAAAAAA